GATGGCTCTGAAGGAAGCCATGACCGAATGGAAGAACCTCCACACGCACATGGCCTGGCTGTTTCTTGCTCGGCGCCCCCTTATGAGCACTCTCACGGCCTCCCGGTGGCAAGCGTCTTACCCAGACCTCCACATCAGCTCGCAGATCGCGTCGACGCTCAACACGTTCACACGATTCTGCGTATCGGACTGGCGTATGGCGTCCGACAGCGCGTCGACAATGGTCAACATCAACGAGTCGTTCGAGATCATGATCGACGTCATCTGCGACGCCTTGGGTCGTGGCATCAACGAGAGAGTAAAGACCGACTGCGTCTTCTCGAAAACGCACTCCGGGAGGGGCTCCGCGATGTCCGCAATCACCTCCGCAAGCACCGCGACGAGAAAAGGACTCCTGATAGCCGGCGTCTTCCTGTCATTCCTCGACGAAGTTTTCAAGACGTTCGCCAACGACTGTTTCTCTGCGGCGCACACTATCAGGGGCGTTCACATCGCTCCTCCGGTCGGCGTCGAGCACTATCCCCTGATGCCCACGCCCAACTTCACCACCACAAGAAACTTCATCGCGACTGGGGGGCTGGGAAACGCTACCTTTTTTCGGCCGGCCCCTCCGTCGGACGTCATATCGCCGACGAAGCGTAGGCGCAAAGAAGGGCCGGCGTCCAATTTTGCAGGCATCCTAGGCGGGTGCGGGGTACCACCGCCGCGAGTCGCGTATCTGCTTCGCGCACGTCATGGGAGGCTACGAGAACCCCACCTGCCGATACCTACACCACAAGGAACCCATTTCGGACCGCACATCTATCTGGCGCTCGCAGGGGTCCCACGGGGGGTGCCCGAGGCAACCAGGTCCTGGCCACCGGTGGCACCGGAAGCGGAGGCGGAAGCGGGGTAGGCGGTGCCGTCGGGGGGAGCGGCGATAGGCCTAAAGCATCTTCCTTCTTCCGAAACGGAAAAGCGGGAAAAGCAAGTGGCGACGGAACTTTGAATCCATGCGCACGCTAGAATACGTCCTCTCGATACTCCGGGTGGCCCCCAATCGAGTACGACAATGATTCGGCGGGGCCAAAAACTCCCCCTTGATTGATTTTCTTGTTCACATCTTTTCATGTGGAGTTCCGGTACCAGTTACAGCGGGGGGTGACATAGACGAGGCCTTGCAGTACGGCAATCATAGGTCCGCACGACCGCACGGTGCGCAGATCATGGCAAAGGTTAGAGATAATGTTCAGTACGGCAGAGCGTTCGTCTTTCAGAAAACCGCGGCGTCTCAGATTGAGGGTCTGCGTGTTTCTCCGCTTGGAGTGGTCGTCAACCCGAAAAAACCACAGGTCGTCAATGATTTGCGGTTTTCGGGTGTGAACCAAGACACGGCTACATCTAGCGCACCGGAATGCAAGTTGGGCCACGTGTTGCGTCACGTAGTGTGGCGAGTGCTTTATTTGTACAATCGGTTCGTTCGCTACTCGTCTGAGCCCAACCCCGTGATTGTGATCTCCAAAATCGACTCAAAAGACGCTCTTCGGCAAGTGTCGGTCGAGAGAGCGCGTTCCCTGACGTTCGGCTACGCCTTCGGCGAAGTCCTAGTAGTGGATCGGCAAATGCAATTCGGATGGAACCTTAGCCCCCAGTATTTTTTCTTGTGCGCGGCCGCCATCGAACACTCCCACAATCGCACGACGGTCGATTCCGCCGTCGTGACATCTCACGGTCGAGCGGCCACGGAGCACATTCGCGTGATGCCCGCCGCAGCGGTAAAACAGACCCCTCTCCCAGCGTCATCTGCGCTTCCCCCGGGATCAGGCGGGGGACCGGGTGATCTTTCTTCGCTAGAGCATATGTAGAGGATGTCATCGGCGTCGAGGTGCACGTCGAGCACCCAGGCATCGACCGGTGTCTGCTAGCGTCAGCATCTTAAAGCGTCGGACCACTTCAGGTTATTCGGCGACAGGCCGCGTGGTTTTCCCCCCCTTTCGACGAGCAAGCTAGAGTCGTGGAAGTCGCGTATAGAGGTCCTTGGTTGGGATATTGATACCAAAGCGCTCTCGATATCTGTGCCCCACACGAAACTCCTCCGGGTTCACCATATGTTGGCCGATTGGTGGGTCCGTAGTACCGCTTCAGAAAACGATGTGCGGTCACTCATGGGCAAAAATCTCCCCATCTGCGAGGTAGTCCGTCCCGGAAAATTCTTTGTTCGTCGCATGCTCAATCAGTTGGGTTTGCCGCCAGGTCAGCCGTGGGACGAGAAACTGTATCGCTCCGGGGACGGCTCGCATACCTCCAATCGGATCATTGCGCTAGGCCCAGAGTTCCGCTCGTACGTGTCATTTTGGCATATGATGGTTGAATGGGCGCTGGGCGCTGACAAGCAAGGTAGGCTAGCCCTGCCGTTGTACAGCTGTTACTTGCAACCACACGTCCGTACGTTGTGGAGCGACGCTAGCGGGGACGCGATGGGTAGCTACTGGTTGGAGACGGGGAAGTACTGGCGGATGGACTTTCCCGGCGACGTCAGACAACACTTCCTGGAACTGCTCGGCATGGTGGTCACAGTATGGGCATTTACGGTAGATGCAGGAACCATGCCCGAGTACCAGGGACAGAGTGTTCTTATGAGAGGTGATAATATGAGCGCTGTGCACTGGTGCACTCAACGCAGAGGGCCCAAAGAGCCAAGGTCGGGAGCGATGGTGCGAGTGATGGGGCGCTTAGAGATGCGGAGTGGCTGGTCCTTTGGGGCGCGGCACGTGAAAGGCATCTCCAACACCCTTGCCGATGGTATTTCGAGATGGGATTATGACAGTATCCTCCCCAACCTCCGCGCTTTCCGACCGGATATTCAGTGGCAGGCGCAAGAACTCGGGCAGGCAAGACGGGTCTAGTCTCCGACATCTTGGCGTGCAGCTCGTCGGGCAATCAATTGCGCCTTCGTCTAGACGTACTTACGCGTCAGGTTTCAAGTCTTGGTGCACGTTTCGAGGGATAATAGGCAAACCGCGTTTTTCCCAAGCCGGCATCTCCAACGACCGCAGGGTATGGGAGCTGATTGATTTTTCGGCATGGTGCTTTGAGGTAGGGAGCAACTCCGCTAGTACGATTCCAGGAAAGCTAGCAGCGGTAAAGTTTCACCACAGGGTGGACGCGTCTGTTGAGCTGGACATTTCGTCACCGTTGCTAAAATGTGCATTGCGGGGGATCGCAAGGAAATAATGAAGCTCTAGGCACCGCTGTGCGTTTACCAATATCCTGGGGCATGCTGCTTGACGCCGAATGCAGGGTCCCGGGTTGGGGAGCAGGTGGATGGGTCATGTGGCTGTGTCTTGGTCTCAGTTTCCTTTTGATTACTCGGTCTAACGAGGTTTTCGTCGACGACGCTGGCGTAGCACACGCATCGCATTGTCTCACACGGGGAGACGTAGCTCTATTTTCAGGCAACGAGCAAGTAGACTTCCGCAACTATCGCAAGGCTGATCGGCTAGAGTTGCGTTTTCGTGGCCACAAGGGTGAACAGGATGAGAAAGGGAACATTCGTGTGCGGACGCGGGATCACGTGAGGGGACCGCAGTCGGGGGTAAGAGCGAGTGGCGTTGCATTCGCTCTTGTTGTGGAGTTGTTATCGTGTCATGCGACGATGTTCGACTCCACACCACTATCGTCTTTCCGCGTGAAGGGAGGGGCGGTGTAGCAAGGCGCGCTCCGAGACGTCGTCACCAAGTCCGTCCGAGACCCCCAACACTTTGCATTACATTCTCCACGTGTCGGGGGGCGCTACGGCGTTGGCAGCAGGTGGAGACATATCTGAGCGGGTGATTCAGAGAGAAGCAAAATGGTCCTCGGATGTATACAAACCGTATGTTCAGAACAATGTCGAGGACTCGCGTAGGGTGTCGCGAAAACTAACGAACGGGACGAGGTTCGACGTAAGACGGCCGGGGGAAGGTACGATATGGGGAATGAGGGGCTGACTGCGCGTGGGCAGTGGTATGGCCGGCTGCATGTAGGCAGCAGTCTGGAGCGTACCTCGGCTTGGGTGTAGTGGAATGGTCGAGTACCATTTGGGGGCTTGGTCACTCCAGACCCCTGCTGCGTGCAGCAGCAGTAGCCGGTGTTTTCCCCCGGCTGGATTTAGCCGACTTGCGTTCGGAGAGAGAGAATGAGACAGTTTTTGAGGGGAATCAGGCGCGTGGATTGTGTGTTTTTTCAGCGCTGGTTCCTACCCCTTCTCTCTCTTTCTATCCTGGTGATCTAGAAACCGATAATGATAAAGCAACTCGAGAGAAATCAACAAACGAGTGTATCACATGGACTAATCCGGCCTCAGATATGCGCTACAGTCGTTTTGGACCACGTGGTGTGCTGTACACGAGTGTGTATAACATGGGAGAATCTGGCTTCAGATTTACGCTGCAGTCGTGAAAAGCCAGAGATTTTGCAACTGCCAGTTAAGTATGTGAACGTATAGTCTATCTAGTGTATTGTTTTCTTTCGAATTGCCTTGATCAATATTTCTGTGGCCTACGGAGGGAGACTTCCCCCGTACCACATGTTCCGCACGGCACAAAGCCTCTGCGGTATCCTAAGGTGTCTCTGCTACTAAAACACATTTTCTCCCTCCTAATACCACCAGACGGGACGAAACTGTTGTACACTATTACGGTGGCACATAATTAAGAGGAGCAAATCTTTGCTTTTCTCGGCGAAATTTTTTTTTCTGAACAAGGCATGTCCGTAATTGTTTTTAAATCGCAGGAAACAAACATTACGGTCCAAAGCCTTCATATACACAGTAAAGCTAGGGCAGTAGACCTACCAAACATCAAATGAAAGATGGCAACCACAGCTTTCAAATGAACCTGGTCTTGCTCTTATCAGATAACGACAAGGCACAGCAGTGGCCGGCCATGTATGGGTACTCTTTGACTGTATTTTTATGTGGGGAGGCGAACAAAAACAAAATGAAGACAAAGTAACGCAAGTAGAACTTTTTGGAAACCCTATGATTTGGCGCGCGGGACCAGCACACCAGCTTTTGAAACAACGCAGCCGTTGTCGAGTACCACACGCTGGAAGAGGGGCCTCCCAGCTATCGGCCGATGACAAAACCGAAGGGCAGGAACAAGCCCACAGGCGGTGTCGGTGGACGCGAGACGAAGGCGGGAGAGAGACCCAAGACGGCAGCGGCGAGAGATGCTTTGGCCCTGGACAGATGCAGCGCTAAGCTTGAGCAGGAGCGTGCAGCGCTCGCGTCGGAGATGGCGCAGAGAGAGCAAGCGCTCAGGGCGAGGGTGCAAGCGCTTAGAGCGAAGGAGGTGGCGTTCGCCAAGAAGGAGGAGGCAGCGCCGCGCGCCGCTGCTCAACGGGAAAAGCGTGAGCAGGAAGAGGTTGAGCGCGTCGAAGCGGCAGCTGCCTGNAGAGGGGCCTCCCAGCTATCGGCCGATGACAAAACCGAAGGGCAGGAACAAGCCCACAGGCGGTGTCGGTGGACGCGAGACGAAGGCGGGAGAGAGACCCAAGACGGCAGCGGCGAGAGATGCTTTGGCCCTGGACAGATGCAGCGCTAAGCTTGAGCAGGAGCGTGCAGCGCTCGCGTCGGAGATGGCGCAGAGAGAGCAAGCGCTCAGGGCGAGGGTGCAAGCGCTTAGAGCGAAGGAGGTGGCGTTCGCCAAGAAGGAGGAGGCAGCGCCGCGCGCCGCTGCTCAACGGGAAAAGCGTGAGCAGGAAGAGGTTGAGCGCGTCGAAGCGGCAGCTGCCTGTTCGGCGGAGAAGGTGGCTCAGGACCTGGACTACATGGACACATCTGTGCACGAGGTGAAGCCGAAGAAGGGCGAGGTCTAGACCCAGTTGCAGTTAAGGATGGTCCTCATGCTACTCTTCGACCTCCGCAAGGAAGGTCGCTTTGAGAAGGAGGCAGTGTTGCAGGTCAGTACACAGCAGTGAAGGTCGGATGGTGCGGCACGGCAGCAGGCCGCCAATGTGTTTGTTGAATATTCATCTTGATCAAAGAGGGGTAACGGTTGTTTTTTGAATATATAGACTACTCCGGAATATGTGCTGTACACCCTATTTTTGCTGCCAACAGGTACGATCATGTGTGGTGTGTGTTTTTTTGTCGCATGCATGTCGGGCGCGGTACACGGTTGACTCGCCAGTCTACGTCACACAAATATTTAGCAGGAATACATTGTACTGCTGCTGTGCAGCAGTACCTTACAGCAGATGAGCAGGCTTGCATGTGCGATGTCTCTCTGTGCAATGTCCAAGTGAACTGACCTCATTCATAAACGATGTTGCAATATTTTCTCTTCTCTGGACCTCTCTATGCTGGCAGGTTGCGCGCACTTTCAAGATCGGCCACGACAAGGTCAGACGCATCAACAACCACTGGTGGGATCACCGCCAGTTGTACGAGACCACCGCCGTGGGGAGAGGCAAGACGGCAAAGAAGGATGATGGGCGACGCCGCCTCACCAAAGTACAAGAAGATCAACTTCGCGAGTTCATCAACGACGGGCACAAGGCCGCTCGTCAAGTCTTTCGCCGCACGGTGGCAGAATGGATGCACAGGACTTGCAACATGGAGCAGCCGTCTAACCGTTCGGCAGGAGGGCTGCTGAGTAGGCTCGGCTACAAGCGTCGTAGAGGCAGGATTAAAACGCCACCGTTAAACGCCGAAAGACTTGCTCCCATTCGTCGGTTTCTTGTTGAAATGGACACGGCAAAGAGGGCAGAGGATGCTGGGTTAGCAGTGATCGTGTACATGGATGAGAGTTTTGTCCACCAGGCTCATGGTTCCCCCTATTCTTACTTTCCTTCGGACGACGATGGAGTTGTGCAGGATGGGATTGGTCGCACAACGGGGAAGGGCTTGCGCATGATCATGGTGCATGCAATCACGAAGTGGGGGCCGTTGGCTAAGCTTTGTGATGGGTTACCGATCGAAGAGGGCTGGTTCAAGGAAACGGGTAGCGGCAAGAAGGAAATGGAAGATGAGGAGACAGCAGAGTTTCTGTGGCAGGTTAAGTTGGCAAAGGGTGATTACCACGCAGCAATGACCGACTCGATGTTCATGGAGTGGCTAGAACACCGCCTTAACCCTGCGTACAACGCGATCCCTGATTTCAAAGGCAAACGGATGATTCTTGTTCTTGACAACACCAAAAAGCACAACGTCGATCTGTTGCGTATGTTTGGGGTCAATTCGATCAGAGTTAAGCGTAAGGAGGGCGAACAGGGCGTTGTTGAGCACAACTTGGAGGTACCGACAGAGCCTGGTCCTTCATTCCCTGCAGGGAACAGGGAGGGCGGTGTAAGCAGAGCGGAGGTAGCAACGGCCACTCGGGAGTACATCCACCTCAATCACCCTGAAAGGCTCGAGGAACGGGTGGTGACGTTCATGAGGAAAAAGGGGTGGGCGTTGATTTGGACGCCGCCCTACATGCCGTCCTTTCAACCGATCGAGCTTTTTTGGCAGCATGGTAAGCAGTACGTCAGCCTTAACTTTGAGTTGAAGCGAAAGATGCGGGAGGTGTGGGTGCAGATTCGTAAAGGTTGGTACGGGGACAAGGAATGGCCAGGCCAGGAGGGGGGGTGGAAGGCAGCCGATTGTTCGAAGCTGGTTGACCACGCCATTGGAGAGATGAATAAGTGGGTCAAGGACCGTGATGGAGTGCTTTCTGGTACGATAGGCAGCCTCGAAAAGCCGGACGGGTACGATACAGATGATGTGTCGCCCGTGGGTGATGTCGAGGAAGGGGTAGGGGAGCAGATCCAGCAGGAAAGCGCAGAATGGGGTGATGGCAGCGACGAGGTTGAACCATGATGAAATTTTTTTCAGCCTTGTGATCAATTGCTACATCCATGCACTGGGTGTGCCATGTTCCGACAGCACGCATATGTAATTGCTGTGCGCGGGGGGTTGCGTCCCTGCTATCAGTTGCTGCAGCTGTTATTGAAAAAAAAAAAATCAAAAATATTCAAATGTCGACAAGTTTTACCCCGGATGCAGCTTGCCACATGTCAACTAGATTCATGTTTTATCTTCTTGCGTATTGACCGCCTTCGTCATGGAAGCGTTTTGCGCTACTGTATGCCGACAGGCGCTTAAAAATGTTGAGTTGCAGGCCGAGAAGTGGGGATACCAATGTTGGCCGCATGTTGCTGGGCATTTTTTCCGATTTTGAATCTCTGCTCAGGTACACGACAAGCCATAACTCAAGCAATTTGATTTTTTTTTTTAATGTCTTTTTTTCATCGTGACCGCCTTTTCCCTGTCGTCAATTTGCGCTATCGTATGCTGTGCTGCGCATCGTATTGCGAAAGCTACACTCCGAAACCCATATCGCTTGATTCGCTCCTCTTAATTATGTGCCACCGTAATAGCAATCTCGGACGATTGAGCCTCCCAATGGTACGCACTACCATTCAGAAAACACCCCAATTCTACACCATTCTCTACGTGGCAAACGGTTGCACCAACTCCGAGTCACAGAAATATTGAGAGGCCTCTCCTAAGTGAGTCCTCACTCGTAACATCTCCTATCCCCCACCT